ACAACAATTAGAAAAAGAGTAAAACGTTGCCGCTAGACTTATAAGCTTTTTAAAAAATGTATAAAGCGTTTTAAGAAGCAAATGTGGCTGTCTGAAGAATATTTGCACCTGGGAAAATATGGGTATCTTATTTAATTTATGCAATTTTCTACTGTCTGTTCCGATGAACTATAAGTGGGGTACAGATATTTACAATACAATAGTGATAATTCAAAAGTTATACGTTAGAATAAGGAACATAGAGTTATAAATTCTTGATGTATAATATTAAGCCTTCTGGAACAGTGAGGTTTTTACTAATCTCTGGGAGGCCATGATAGTGAGGGGCAACTTTGCCTTAGGGGACAAGCTGTTTCATAAGAGGGGAGCACCCATAAGAATCACATTTTGGGGTCCTCCATCATACCTTAGCAGCAGCTTTAATTTATATGAAAAAGAAGTGACTACTATCTGGGTCAGAAAAAGTACAACATCTTGGCTAAGGAATACTGAGGGAGACAGAAAACTAAATCTGAAAAGTGAAGAATAATATTTTTGCTTTCAAGAAAATGTACTGTTTCTTGTTTACAGCAACAGTAAGATCTACAACATACAGTTGAAAGAATAGATATCTAGGAAACAGATCAATGGGTTCTGGAAGGATGCAAGATAGATGGGAAATTATATTTTAAACATGGGATCTTTTAAGATAAAGAACAAGTTCCATTATTTAGGTTCATATTTCTATCTTGGCTTTCAGCAGATTACTATGAAGCAGTGTTTGGGCTAACCCATGAAATAGGCAGTTGGACTCAAGATCTCTTCATGGTGCTTTGCCTCCACATTTGCAAAAAGCCCGGAGTCAAAAGAGTTTTCTATTAGAAATGAAGAATATGGTAGCACCTCTATTTCTACTTAAGTTATAGCTCATCCAGCAGTTGTTTCTTTTAAGTATCTTGGGAATGTCTTGGCCGAGTGCAGACTGGAAGGCCAATTTCCTGTCTTCTAACAAATGGCATGGGTAGGGATGGCTATCCTTCTACCTCAGTGGTTCCCAAACATGGCAACTTTAAGACTTGTGGACTTGGGCTGAAGAATTCTGGGGATTGAAGTCCACAAGTCTTAAAGTTGCCAAGTTTGGAGAACTCTGCATTAAAAGATTTTCTCTGTCTGTTTAATGGTAGATCCAGTTCCATCCATAAACATGGGATTTCCTTCCCTTGGAGGCAGAACCACAGAGGTCCACAGTTGCCATACAGGGATGCCCAGAATTAGATTAGGAAGAATTTGTACCCATCAGGTGTAATGAACATATATTTATCCAAGTATGTGGAGATCATGCCAGGTAACACTGTCTGGATATAATGTAGCAAAGAGCCAATGTAGCCAATTAAGCATTTCATTTACTGGAACTTGTATAAAAGACGTCTCTTTTTCGTTTTTGGAAATCATACTTATTAATGCTCTCCAGCCTATAATGAAATGGAAATAATCCCTGGAACACTAGCCTCCCAGCCACGAAGCAAGCAAGCTGTCTGAAACAAAACTGTCTAATTGTAGTACTAGGAAGAACTATAATGTCAAGGTAAAAATTTAAGAATTTCTCTCTCTCTCTTTCTAAAGCCTCCATGTATAGCTATGCGATACTATTGACTCAAGAAGTAATGTTGAACACTGGAAGTGTTCAGTCAGCATTTTAAACTATTATGAGCTACCTTCTGAACCATTGCCAACTTAATAGACAATGAAAGATAATGAGCTTGAAATTGGGTGTTAAATTGCATTTTTGGTTCTCTTCTCTTTTTTTTCTCGAGGTTTAACCATTTCCTGCAGAAACAATATTCCCTGTTGGTGTGCCCTCACATAAATGTCCACTCTTAGGTCACCCATAAAAACTGCATGTGTAAAGAACAAAATTATTTTCATTCACTCGCACAAATGTGGGACAATTGGGGGGGGGGAGGCATGGAAGAGTTAGAAAAAATATCAAGGGGAGGAGTCAGAAATTTTTTGGGGGAAGGGAGGAGGCATATAATTGCGCCTTTATCCTAAACAGAATGCGTATGAATTGTGTCCTGGTCATATTATCAAGTATATATTTATTAGCAGCAGAATCAACATTATTTCTGGGCCACCTAGGAATTGAGAAGGCAGACGTGTCCCCTCCCCCCAAGAATATAAAGCAGCAAGATGCACTGTTGTAGGGAAAAGTATGGAAGTCATGGACAGCACTGAAAAGCAGTATCTATTAAGAACATTTTCACACGTTGTTTCCCCAAAACTACCTGCACCCAACCTCCAAAGCCTCAGCTGTGATCCCAAAATTGTTGCCGAATTATACTTTTACTTTTTTTAATGTGATAAAAAGGAAACAAAAATATGAAATAGATTAAGAGAGATCATATTCGCTGCAAATTAATTTCAGGTAAGGACAGAGAAGAAAAGGGCCAAGTGAGGTCCCAGTCTGCAAAACTGGGCATATTAAAACACCGTTACAGGGAGTCCATGATTTGCAGCCATTAGTTTAGTGACTCTTTGAAGTTACAACAGCGCTGGAAAAAGCCAGTCCTCGCACTGTCATAGCATTACCATGGTCACATGACCAAAATTTGGGCATTTAGCAACTGGCATATATTTACAACTGCTGCCATGTCCCAGGGTCATGTGATGGTCATTTGTGACCTTCCCAGCAGCTTTCAATAAGTAAAGTCAATGGGGAAGCCAGATTTGCTTAACAAGTGTGTGAATCACTTAACGGCTGCATTGATTTAACAACCGGGGATAAAAAGATCATAAAATCAGGCTGACTCACTTCAGAACTGCCTTCTTTAGCAAAGGAAATTCTGATCTCAACTGTGATTGTAAATTGAGGACTACCTGCACTGATATGGCTTGGTCCTCTGCTACAGTTTCCAAGAGAAGCTAACAGAAAGCACACTTGAGGGACTGAATGTTATGTAGCAATGAAGGAGAATATTTGTACCTCAGGACTGACAAGAGGAGATAGATAGGATAGATAGATAGATAGATAGATAGATAGATAGATNGATGGATGGATGGATGGATGGATGGATGGATGGATGGATGGATGGATGGATGGATGGATGGACGGACGGACGGACGGACGGACAGACGGACGGACAGACAGACAGATTTAATGATAGATAGATAGATAGATAGATAGATAGATAAATAGATAGATAGATAGACAGACAGACAGACAGACACACACAGAGATAGGTAGATAAACAAATAAGCAAGCAAGCACAGTTGTGGTTTCACTTAGTGACCACACCATTAATGACTGAGCTGTCAATCCCAAATGTGGTTGCTAAACTAGAACTACCTATAATGCAAACACCCACAATTTTCAATGTTATTTGTTACAGCAGAACTATACATTGTAGCAAAGGAAGAGGAACATATTTTGGGTCAGTGGAAACTGCCCGAATCTGAAAGACTATTATGGGGGTACTTGCAAAATGGCTGCCACAGAAGGACCTGGCCGACTCTGGTAATGGCAACCACACTGAGCAGCACCTGTCAGAAATAGCCATTTGTCAAAAAGCAAGCTGGTGTCCTTGATCTCTGCCATCTTGATTAGTTCCCACATTCAGCTAGAATCAACGAAGAAGAAGTGCTTATGGACACCTTTATAAACAAACATGTCTTTTCATTTCCTTTTAGGTTTTTTTTTTTTGAGGGGGGGGGAGAGAGTTGAGAAATGTGCCTGAGTAAGTACTGAGAGCATCCTATTGCATATCTTATCACATTGTTCCAAAAAAATTGAAGACCTGCATCTTTGTCTCCTCTTTTTATTCATTCTGGAAATCTAAAAACATCAAATATGGAACTTGCAGATTTCATGTACGAATGTTCTAGAATAGTTTGGGCATCTTTTTGGACATTTTCTTTCTTTTTGCAAGCCTTCTAGAGTAGTCCCCCAGCGAGATAGGTGGCAAATATATTTAACAAACAACAACAACAACAATATTTTAGCATATTCTGCCTTCCTTTGCTGCATTACTCACTGTTACAGGAGGATTAACATGAAGAGGAACAGAGTTGCTCCTTTTCTGAACTTAGCCTAAAATACCATTAAAAGGCAAAGAAGCAAACTGGACTCATTTACAGAGGTTTTGGTGAGGCACCACTTGTATAAAGAGCCAGTTTGATCCAGTGAGTAAGGCACCAGGCTGGAGATTGGGAGTTCAAGTCCTGCCTTAACCATGAAAGTCATCTTGATGACCTTGGGCCAGTCACTCTCTCAGCTCAATTCACATTTACAGGATTATTGTTCTGAGGAAAATAAGAGGGGGTGTGTTGGATATGTTTGCTGCCTTGAGTTGCTTGTCAAAATAACAAAGGTGGGATACCAATAATAAACAAAAATATATGTATATACATGTGTGTATAGTTACATGTGTGTGTATGTATGCACGCATGTACATAAGTTCATATGTACGTACGTACGTACAGACAGACAGATCGATATAAACAGACAGACAGATAGCCACAATGCAATGTATTAGGCATTCTCTGAAGTGATCAAAACAAGTTAAAGCAGAGGGGGAAATATACCTGGGCCATCATTTGATAGGACAAAGTAAGCTCCTTTTATTAACATAATTGTAGGATCTCTCTCCCCCTCTCTTATTTTCCTTTTAAACTAATGGATTAAATTAATCCAGGTTCATTTTTATAAGCCTCTTGGGTCCATGTGTGGCGGACAGTCACTTTAGAAAACAATAAATTAAAAAAGAAGACAAAGTGTATAGCATATACTAAGTGCACATATTTCATAAGACTTTGGGTTAATACAAGTGGCATCCAGTGTAATTAATCCTTGTGAGTATAACAACTAATATCCCTCCATAGCATGTTTCCTTTAAACAGTAGGATGTTAATTAAATGTTTTTTGTTGTTGTTTTTTTCCTCCTTGTTTTGGAAGGAGGGTGGGTGGGTTCTGTTTTTTTCCACTAAGCCAAAGACAGCATCATGTTGCTATAAGGAATAAATACCTTATAGAGATGTTTCCTTACAATCTCTGGCCTCTTGCAGAAATTCTGAAGCCTTTTAATAAGCTGTTCAGGTGTAGAATACAGATATTCAGCTGCAGGAAAAACAGATACATTTTTAATGAAACAAAAACCTCAAAGCACACACTCGAATATTAGTCACTTTACTAATTAAAAATGCATATTGCTCTGTGCCGCCTCGTGTTTTACATTATTTAAGCATGATTTTATAAGGTTTACCTCAGCTCACAAGGATGTTTAATGCTAAATAAGGCTATGTAGTTGTGCTGTTTAGACATCTCCTTTGGGTGATTAAAATACATTATATTAATGTAACACAATGCATATATGAGACATTTAATGATGAGATTTTTTTACCAAAGAATTGGTACTACATTAGTGTTACCCCATAGCAGGACTGCACACTATTAAGTATTAAATAGTTTAAAATAATTTGGTATGATTTTTCAGGCCTATTTCCCCCCCCTCTGAATATTATTAAAAAGGAAAAAAAAATCTGCAAGCTATCATAGACAAAGCGACCTTTTTAATAAAATCTATCATTATAGGCTGTGTATACTAACAATGAAGAACGCTATTTCAAAACTAGCTTTTGTGTTATCATGAAAGAACAGATGGTAAATATAAACTTCGTCTAATGTATTAAAACACATTAAAAAATTCCTTAGCGCTAACATGGTAGCTTGCCAAATAAACAATTGCTCTTGCTTAAGTTTATACTCAAACTTTGTATTTTCAAATTAATTATAAATTAAAATACCTCCCCCCTTAAAAAAAGGAAAAAAAATAAACTTAGGACACTACCTGGAAATATTTCTGGATAAACCAAAGCATTTGGACAAAGGGGGTAACAGCCACAGTGCACCGCTTCTATCCTAAAACAGGGGAATGCAAATTGTGCATTATTATTGCATTACTGAGCCCCAAAGAGTATTTTTGGCGAGTGGCACAGAAGTTGGATTGCAACAATCATATTCCCTCAGCATCAGTATAATCTCTTTACATGCCAAAGTTGCTCTTTTTCTTTAAAAAAATAATTTTATTGATCATATAAATTGCATATAATGCAACAGCAAGCGTATGTTTTGTTAGCTAAATAAATCAAAGCACAGCTTTTTTCTTTAAACAGCTCCATACATTTTAAAAAATATATATAATCAGTAGACAGACAGAGGATACCAATATGGGCTGTTCTTCTCTATGGTACCTGGGGAAGAGTGGGGCACCTATAATACACTTCCTCTCATTTTCAAGCATACTGTGAAAAACAAGCAATGATATAAGCATACATTGACCCAATGTATCACAGCAAACAGACTAGCTCAGTTCCTGATGTTTCTCTAGGATCAATAAGCCTTCATTGTGATGAATAACGCAACTACACCCTGAAGTACAGGCACTGGATGAGGATCTATGATAACTCATCCCAACCAACTCATTACAGGATAACTTGCCAGAGCCAACTAGCAGTAGGACAACTTTTCATTGGACAAAAGTTACAAAATCTCAAAGAAATGATGAAATAGAAAGGATACAAAAGGAAAGATAAAATGAAATGGAAATGACAAAAATTTAAATAATTTTAAAAGTATTTTAAATAATTAAATAAAATAGTTGAATGGTCTCGGAGCGAGTTGTCCTGTGGCGAGTTGGCTGTGGTGAATTGGCCATGGCGATTTGGCAATAGTGAGTTGCCATGGCAAGTTAGCTGTGGTGAGAATGTGGGAAAGATCTAGACTTACCAGCATACATAAGTATGAGGAATTGCTCCCATACTCAACACTCTTTGTGAAATAATTAGAATAGTGAAACACAGAATTTGTTTCAAACTTTAAAAGGTAATTTCAAAATTATATGTATCTATATGAAATTAATGTGATTACAAACCCCCTGAGCATGAGCTAGCTTGGTATGGGCATGTTCCTCTTTTATTCATGTAAAGAAATACAGTGACTTTGCCTGAAAGAGTTGGATGATGTATACTTAAACAGACTTAGTTATACTTATGGGTCTATAAACTTTTAATGACTAATTATAAGCTTATTATTGCTCTTGTGGCAGAAAAGCATGCTTGAGACACAACCACTCTGGCATCCACGATCAACTGGATTACAACAACAAAATAATGACAATGACAGCAATAGAAAAATCTAGAAAATAATAGTGTGTGCACAAACATTTTTGCATGCAGTGATTCTTCAGCACAATGGTTATTCATCTAGTGTACAATAAACTTTATAAACAAAACTGGAAATTCTATTAGACAGAAATTACAGAGCAAAGTTGAAACTATACTTTAAATAAATTGTAAAACAATTTGAAACCACATTTCACACTTGAAACCACCCTGTATAAGTTTATTTTAGACTTTATTTGAATAGTATGCAACATGGTAGAGGATGTGATTTTGTCAATATAGTATCTACTTTGTCTTCAAAAATGCAACATGATTATTTGACCATAAAAACATTTGTGGGGGTTTTTCCCCCAAGCATTCCTTCTTCCTTTTAAAAAAGATACACATTTTGCATGTACATTAATTTAGCTGACTTTACTTCTGCTTTTGAAATAAAACATCTATAGCTTAACCAAATTGTAAATAAAGACAGCTTCAAAGATTATAGTTTGTATCCAGCAGGTGTTAATTTAGCAGACTGAATGGTTTCTTGATCTAGTGGAGGGTTCCATCAATGAGGAAGGGAGCACTTCACCCTTTTTCAGCCCTATTTGAAGTAGGCAAATGCAGTAGAATTAACTTACATAAAAATATCTCTATTTTGTTCCAATGAATTAGGTTTCCAGGAGATTATTCCATCAGCAGAGTGGTATCAACTACATACAATCCTATAGCCTCAAATACAAGAAGGCAGCTTACAAAATTGAAAGAGAATTGCATGAGATTATTTGGATTGTCATGGTTCCACATATCTCCATGGTTGCGCATACTTTAACCTATGTGTTACTCAATCATACTTGTCAGAAATTGTGGAAGCTTAGGTAAGATGTCCAATCCAAAATCTATAAATATAGCACTCAGACTGATATGCAACTTTTTAGTTCTTTGCAGCACTCACTGAGCCATTTACAATGTCATCATTTTGCCCCCAACAATCTGGGTTCTCATTTTACTGGCCTTAAAAAGATGAAAGGCTGAATCAACCTCGAGCTGGTCAGGATCAAACTCCTGACTGTGGGCAGACTTAGCCTGCAATACTTCATTCTAACCACTGCACCTCCTGATATGGCATATGTATAAGGGAATGTTTTCTGAATACAAAATGTGATGAAGTATCTTTTTGGCCATTAATTAGTTTTCTTCAGAGAATTTAAATGCATATTTTGTTAGCCACACAAAATTCAGTAGAGTTCAGATAATGAGCTTATGTAAGAAAAATATGTATTTTCTATTATTTCCTTAAAAAAAAATAGAATAGCAGGCAAAGCTATACAGTCGGCGTCATCTTTAAAACACTGTAGCATCTTCTTTGCAAGGTCTTTCTCTGTCTCACAAATTAATAAAACCAGGATCCAATATTTATGTAGTTTGACAGATTAAAGGTAGGATTTGGAATTAATCCTTTTATTTGAAAATGACCTTACATGCTGATGCAAAAATAAACAACTGCCAATATATTCCTGGAGGAGTTGGGGAAAACAGAACATGAAATGTGTAACACAAGCTTTCATTTAAAAAAGAAATAAAGAAAAAAGAACTGTTAAAAATACTAGTTAAACTCAACGAAGAATGATCTGCTATTAATCCTAGGATACCTATGTAAGGAGAAACTGTATGAGAAATTGACCATTAGTTTATACATGTGGATGGGATCTAAAAGTTGGTCTATGGATTGTAGAAGATAGGCTGCCTATTAATTTTGGTAGCAATTTAGAAACAACCTAACATTTTTCTATAATAAGCTTGTAGATGCTAGGTTCAAACCATGGCAACCACACTTATCCTTTATTTTGATTCTTAATTCCAAGTATCTCTGGTGAAACAACAGAGTCCCCATACCCCATTGTTAAAATGACCTTTATATTCCAATTAACAAATCATCTGCTAAATCTATGAATCTTAATATTCAAATCTATTCCCTTCAATTCATACAATTTATCTGCAAATAGTTGTTGGGCGTCTGATTCTAAATATAATTAGCTGATAATTTTGCTTGGCTGAATTACTTTTCTGGAGGGCCCGCTAAGTCTCTCAGTTGCATTATCTAGCAATAATGAATCTGATAGGTGAAATTTTTTACTGTAATGAGGATGAGACACAGTTGTGACACCTGAGTCTAGTAATAACAGAAGACTGCTAATTATCGACAGCACTTTTTTGTGTGATGCAGAGAGGGGAAAAAA